ATCAAACTACAGTGGCACCCATTTCTGATATTGCGACTCCGGTGCTACTCAAACCGAAAAATGGGCAGGTCATGGTTGAAGTCAGTTTCGCTCCAGACAAACGATTGGCACCATTCATTCAAGAAGTCATTTGTGAAATATCATCCTTTGATCCAGACAGCTTAACTGATCCACCGGAGGTTACAGATTCAGATCGAGAACCTAAATTGTACTTGCCTGTTTTCGCGATACAGGGAGCCTGCCGTACGCATGATATCACGTTTGACAGATCGGCAGTCACCTTTGGTCCAGTTGTTCGAGGAAGTCAATTGACCAAGTCGCTAACGCTTCTCAATCGGGGAGATCTGGGTTCTAAGTAAGTGGTTTGATATGTCACGGGAAAACTTGTATTTTGATGACATCTTTTCAGTCGTAAGACTCAATACCAAAATTAACCTACTGGGGTTTTATTTACTTCGTTACTCCAAATTCCAAAGCTTAGGTAACCAGTTAATATAAGTGAATAATAACTCTTCGGAACCAGAGGAATAACCCCTTTCTGTTTATCAAACCGTATTGTATATTAGGAACATAACCGAGACTTTCATTAGGACCAACTAAGCCATCTCCAAAAGTGATTGTAAAAAGCCCTATATTTTCGGTTGAGATTCCTAAGATCTAAGACCATTTACACCCAACTAAGTGCAGATCTGTAAATACATTCACCAGACGAATGGGCCAAATCATGTCTCTTTGATGCAATTCATAAAACCTCGTACAATCAGTAAACTGGGAAGTAAGGGGAAATGCATTTCTGTTCTCTAAGCTGAACCATTTGTTTGCACACGTTGCATGACTAGACAAAAGGGAAATCTGCAGTACTAGAGGAACTCTTTCCGTTCGTTTATAATGGTTCTGTCGCCGATTTGGTCCATTATCCTCATATCGGTTCGCTACTGAACTAGCAAAGAGGGGTTCATTTATGCCTTTGATCTGTTTTGGGGGTCACGGCAGGACCTCTCGTTTTGTTGCCTTGACTCATCATTGAGTAGCATCAGCAAACCTACGAAGTACCACAACAGACCAGTACCGTCAGAAGCAATGGTGATTGTACACCCATTCGTTCTGTTTTCTGTTTCTAATGCTTACTATCATTATTCAAATTCAGTGAAGCGAATAATAAATGGTTCAATATTTAGTGTATACAGCATGGGAGGTGTACTTTCGTGCAGCGGTATTGTTTGCTGCTTTTTGACTAGGAATTTACCAATTGGAGACATCTGTGGCACCGTCGCGACATACGGCTGTCCGTGAAGTGTCGATTATATGCTACAGCAGTTCGACCCGTGCTGCTATACGGTACAGAGACTTGGCCATTACGGGAGCAGGATAAATATAGATTGACGGTGTTCGAACACCGTTGTAGACGTTGCATTGCACGAGTCTGATGGGGTAACCGGACGAATAGTGCCGAGGTTAGGCGTAGACTTTTAGGTAATCGTGGTCGTCCACTGGAGCCGGTAGTCGACCTTCATAGACTACGCTGGTAGGAACATGTGTTATGCATGTCACCAGATAGGTTGCCACGGTGAGCTATGCTTGCTGAAGCAGGTAGCGGTTTGAAAAAGGGCAAGAGCGGTTAAACTAAGACCTCGCACGAGGGTGTGCAATCAGGAGACTCGATCACGTAGGTCCTGTCAGACTCCATGTCTGGGAACCCTGAGATCATGGTAATCGGTGGTCAGAGACACTGAGTGATATGGCTGAGTGTCGCAAACGGTGGCGCTCATGCATCTACTCATTATTCTTGCAACCTCAGTCTAAGCGAATTCTCTATCTTCCGCTTGCATTTGCTCTCAACATTCCAACCTTCATTCTGCTCTTTTATCCAAATGGCCGGCCAAAAAACAGCAACCAAAACCGGGGCACGAAAGTGAATAGTTAGTGGTTGTAAAAACTGAAACTGAATTTGGATGAGGGTAGAAGGGAGATTGGAATACTGAAATCATTATCAACGTGTGCATGGATAATTCTGGTAGACAAAGGTAGCAAACATATTGAGAAGGTGCATTAGTGTTACTGCCAGTGACACTCGGTCACAATGCCACGTGTCTCTGATCATCCAATACGCTGATAAACCGGGGAGCCTATCGTGACCTACATGTCCAGGGATTTCATACCTTCATAATAACAAGACTGCACTTTGATACGGTTTGATCGTTTGCGTACTTCCACGACCCTGTGAACTATACAGAATGGACTCTCAGCCGCAAATCCAATATTGTCTAAAAGGTTACAGGCCAGACAAAGCTCAGTCTCACAAGTCCAACTCGGCTTCCTTGAACTATCCACGCGCCGCCCCTGGAGGGGTGGCTGCATCAAATAAATATTGAGAGGAGCAGTTTGCTTGACAAAAATAACCCAGGAGTACCTGGAGTTTCCTTTCTACGACAGAAGTCCTTGTCATTCATTGGACAGCTGCTCCCACCTAATTTGGATAGCCCTCAGTGAAGGTGTTGTCCCCTCCCCGTTTTGCTAAGGAACGAACCCGAACGGAGGACCGACAAACAATGCAACAGCGAACCGGAAGACCTCGCGTAACAGGTCTTTATACGTTCCCACGCAATTCTCTTGGTCACGCTCTCGTATTAGATTTAAGCTCAACTACCTTTCAAATCAGGCTTTTAAGTCGAAGGCTCCGTTTAGAGTTCCCAAACAAAACCTTTCGGTCAGCTTGGGCTCCCGCGAATTACGACATATCCTGAAGCCTCAGACGGTCATTTGAAAAACCCACTTCCTCATTTGCTGAGTTCTTCCTCTCGCTCCCAAATCATACGAATTTCTTCCTTCTCTTTCAGTGAGGAGATATGACTCAGCGTTTAACCAATAAGAAAAATCAGTCTCCGTGATTCATAATAACTTAGTTCGGACAATCAATAACCCTGTGATCTTCCCTTTTCATTGGTTTACTTCATCGATTGCTCGTCTTATCACACACTGCGGAAAGATTGGATAGGCAAAAACGTTTTGCCGAGAAAGTGCTAAAACTAGGTGTGAAAGTAAACTAAATAGTTGCGGTCGTTGTAGTCACCGGCTCGATTGAGCATCGAGGTGTATGGGGCACCTTGGACGTTTGACCCCGTCCAAAAGGCGTATGATCCGGTGAACTAGACACCGGCTCCCAATGGGTTGCGGTTCTCGCACACCGCCCCGCTGCCTTGCTGGTCAGGCTTTGGCTAGCCAAATGCTCCGGTTGTGGATTCCCAAGAAAATGCACCTGCCTTGGCCTGGGCAACCTGACAGTATTCCGCCCACATGCAAATCATGGAACGTCTTTCTTTTTCATAAAGACTATTGTATCATGATTTGTTTGGCACACGGTCTGGATTCGGACGGGTGTGAAAATATAATATAATACATAATAATATATAATATAATATATATGCAACACAGCCATACTATCTGATATTACACCGTTCGCTGGATCCATCTCGAGGAATCTAAGCGGAAGGTTTAACATGACGGATATCACTGGTAAATGGTTTCATACCCCTCCCCTTTCAACCAATACCTGTATCGGAAAATATTGAATATTATTGAAGTCTATCCTGTCACATGGATGACAAATGAGCCAATCATCACGCAAACTGACTTTCGTTTATCTCATCTTTGCTACGCGGCGCAATCAAACGTTAATCACCAGCTCCGTTAGCCTTCACCATAGACACCGTAAAGCATCAAATGTCTAGGACTTGAACATAAAATGTGACATGAACTGTGGTTAAAGGGGGGGGGGCGAGAAGATAGTTTATACGAGGTGACTGAGTTATTTTATCAGCTAGAAATCTTCCTTAAACTATGGTGTTTGAAGACTTCATACAGTGTCTACATAGAACTCTATTGGTCCCGCTAAGGGCAATTATTTTGGCAAACACTTACAAACTACTTACTACAAAGTGGAAGTTTATTAAGATATGGAAAGATAGTGACCGAATAAAATCATGCGGTTGCGGGCGATTTTGTAAACTTACATAATTAGCTCTTTCTTGTTCATTCTCTCATATATTTCACGCCAAAATCAAAAAAGGGGAAGATGCGCAAGGAGCTGATTGCCTTCAGACACGTGAATCAAAATCCACCGGTCAATGTCATCGTTGATTTGTGTCGATTGGAATATGCAGCAGTCTCTCATGGCTAAAGTAAACTTACGAGTCACTAAAACGTTATTTGGAGTAGGATTAATTAGCATTTTGACACGCATAACCTTCACTTTTGGTCAATTTCACATCCTGTTCTCCCTGCATTTACTAGGTTCCAATGGTTGACAGATACATTTGCATGTGGATTGACCATTTCCCCGACTGAAGGCTACATTGCGCCAGGAACTGAAGTTCCTTTCAAGGTAACGCTGTCTCCAGTAAAACTGAATCCTGACATTCGACTGGAGGTAAGTTAAACAATGGTGATGTTAAAAAAATTCGTAACTTAGGAAACCTGTTATTATTTNTTTCTTACTGAAATCGTTGAGGAATGCTTGTAATTGACGCCTATAGAGTGCACCTTGTGTTCCACGTATCTGAAGTTCCATGATATAAAATCAGGAGTACCAGCTGTTCTTAGTTTTCAAGATTTCTGGATCGAATGCGTTTTAAACACTTCCCCTATTTTCCAATCACTAAGGTGGGTATCGATGTATTCTCTTTGAAGAAAATAGGTTAAGTGCATAGTTACCAAAATCTTTGATGAGCACTGAGTTTTGGTAAGTTGTATTTAACACTGGTCTGGGTTCCGACAAAAATTGTCAAACGGATCATAGTGAAAATCTAATTTTGATTTGTTTTAGGGCGCAACACTGAGAAATGCTGACTAAAGCAGGTGGCTTTTCTTGATTACTCACAACAGGGCCCTAATCTAGCCAATACCTGACCCTCCAGTCTTCGAGCGGTGTGCGTTCGGTGTCTGGTCAGTCGGATTTTATGCCTTTCAGACATCAAACAGGTTCAGGATGTCCAGCCGCTCATACTAGTTAATGACCGATACCCGAGTGCCATGAGGTCGGCTCGTGTGCATCTTTGAAGGAAGTGTTTCTTTGAGCATAGCTTTCTCAGCTGATAACCATTTGCGTAGCCAACCGAACTCAGAGCACAAACCACTGGATGTTAGTGCACAAGAAGTCCCTGCCCACTTTACAAACAGTTGCTTACTTTTTGCACCTCACAATTCTGAACAGCGATCAGCCAAGTTCAATTCACCGTATTACTAATCTGATGACACCAGCTGACAGTGAATCAAACCCATTTAAGCCTCGGCTTGTGAATTTTTAGGTATAAAAG